CCCCAAAACCCCAAAACCCCAAAACCCCATAACTACATATGATAATACTAATTTGATAAAGAGTAATAAATAACAAATAAATTATCAAATATGCCTAAAATCAGAAAGAGAACCACTAGAAGAGTGACTTTGAAAAAGAAGTATAGCATCCAGAAATCAGCAAAGGACACTAAGAGAAAGATAAAGAAGGAGGCTAAGAAGATGTAAAAGAGAGGAATTCTCCATAAAAGTAATAGATTTATTGAGTAATTATATTTTAGATACCAAGAAGGAAGTTGTGATTCCAAACTCATACCCCTACAAGGAGGAACTAATGAATGAAGCAGAGAAAAAAATGTAAGAAGAGAAGGATATTAAAGCACATCAAAAGGCTCTAGAAAAGGCTAATGCTTAATTACCAAAGGGAGAAACTCATTTCGCCTAAGTTATTAAGGGAAATGTTAAAAAACAAGAGGAAGAAAAGCTGCAAGATGGACTCACACATCAAGAGATTGCTGAAGCTGAGAGATTAATAGACCCACAGGCCTCTAAAGTTAATAATGTATACTAATATAAGAAGGGTTACGCAAAGGAAGTTAGGAAGCTAGTTGAGCAAAGTGATATTGTTATTGAAATGCTCGATGCTAGAGATCCAGAGGGTTCCAGAAATCATGATTTAGAAAAGGAGTGTCAGGAACTAAACAAGAAAGTCGTGTTAGTAATAAATAAAATAGATTTGGTTTCTGATTAAAATGCTTAATAATGGTAAAAGAAATTGAGCAAGAGTCATGAGTGCATCTTGTTTAAAGCTCCCAAAAAGAGGTAATCTTAAGATGAAGATGAGGAAATGAAGGATGAGGAATAAGAGGATGAAATTATTGGATTAGCAGATATCATTAAAATTTTAAAGACTCATTCAAAGAAAGTTTGCGTCAAAGAAAAGCTAAAAGACTATATTTTAGTCGGAGTGATAGGATAGCCAAACACTGGTAAATCTACTCTTATCAGAGTATTGAGAAAAGAGAGAGCACCTGATGCTCTCAAGGATGGGCAAAAGCCTAACCCTAAGGAAATTCGTTTACACAAAAATATCGCTATCTTGTCAACCAAAGGTCTTGTTTTCCCAGACCCAGAACAATATGAGAAATATATTCTAAGACAAGCAATAAAAATTGAAGAGATCAAAGATCCCATTCAGCCAATCCAACATCTCATAAATAAAGTTGAAAAGCAAGAACTGCTAAGGCATTTTAGAATTGCAGACTTTAAGGATGTTAATGAACTCTTGGGCCATATTGCTAAAAAGAAGGGTCATCTTTAAGCTGGAGGTAAAGCTAATATGGATCAAGCTGCAAGAGCTATCATCAGGGAATTCCTTCATGGCAAAATAAAGTACTCTTCAAACCCTAAACAATGATAGAGTTGATCTTGCGAGATTTCTTTGCACAATCTAATTAAAAATATTAGTATTTATTAGTAATTAATGTAATCTTCAAATTAAACGTTTAGATAGGGGTTTTGGGGTTTTGGGGTTTTGGGGTTTTGGGG